GGCTTGGGATTTGCATTTAAGTGACTTTATCGACCGGGTGGCTGCGGATCTGCTTAACTATCTCCGAGCAGGTAGAGGCCCAACTGCTAGGCCTGGACTCAGCTCAGCCTCGGATTCAGGCTGAGGCTTAGCTGCCAGCTGTCAGCTTCGCCCGCTCATTAGAAATCGCTTAACGCCCGCGCTCTACCTGCTCACCTGCCCGGGCTGATCTCTGCAGATGCCTATATAAGTGATAGCTGTTGACCATTTGGACAGACACTCCCTGTTCAACTGTCAAGCCACTAAGATGTCCATCAACTCGTTTGCTCTGCCGCTGCTGCTCCTGCTCAGCCTTGCGCTCTCTGGCTGCTGGGCGAGGCCGCGGGATCTGCTGAACGAGGTCAACTCCGAGGAAGCGACGCCCGACGACTACATCGACAACGACCTGGTGCAGACCATCTCCAACAGGCCTGTGGTTGGCACCCAGTTCCTCAAGCAGCGGCACGACTTCTACATGCCCCCAGCTCAGCTCTATCCCCAGCTGGTGATACCCTTTGGTGGCGGCAACTACTACAGCAACTATGTCCTGCCGATGTCCACCTACGAGATCGTTGAGCCGGAGCCCATCTTCTAAGGCTAAAGAGTTCCTTCGACCTTAGATATTAGCTTTACTAAAAAAAAGACAAAAATGTGACATATTATGAAAATAATTAATAATTTTTAAGATATTTGTATAAAATATTAAATATTTAGAACAGCTTTAAGTAAGAAGAAAATCAAATTAAAGACAAATACAAAATGTATAAAAAGATTAACTGATTATTTAATATATGTTTTAATAATTTAGAATACTGAAATAAGAGTTATCATACATTTTGATACACAAGCAAAATTTAAAGCCTCAACGAAATGCTACAGATTTCAAGTGTAGAATTTGAAAAGGTTCTGAGATTCTTCTAACCAAAAAATCTATAAATCACAAAAAAAAACTTTGGGGTTGTAAGTATAATTATCTCGAGCGCGTTTAAAAAAAGGTGTTTTGCATGGATAGATGGAAGTACATGCAACAATTATTCCACAGAGATCTTAAACATGACAAGATGACTGGGATTATCTAGCTATAGATAGATGAATGAACAGATAAATCGAGAGTCAGACGACAACTAAGGCAAGATACGAGTTTGTACCTTATAATATAATATATATATAATATAGTATATAATATTTCTATGTAAAATCCACTTTGTAATACGATTTATGGTATCATTGCTAAACTTGTATGAATCGGATAATGAAATTATTTCACAGATTTTAAAATGAATATTTTTTCACAAAGTTTTCTTCAGGGAAAGTTTGAGCCAGGTCGGGTGAGAGCTGTAGTAAATCCGTTTAATTTCTTCGCAACTCAATTCGTGTAGCTGTTTAGCCGTAATCCCAGTCAACATCTTGCGAAAACATCAGCAAATCTTATAATACCTGCTGTCCGAAGCCATTTCGCAGTTCACACTCAGCGCACACACGCACAGTCGACTGTGGGTCTGGGTCTCGGTTGAATCAAAGGCGAAGGCCTTTGCCCACCTACCGCATTATGTTGCAACAACAATCAACACTCAAATCAACAACAATCTGTACAAACAACAACAACATAATCAAACAAGCAGCAACAGAAGCCAAAGACCAACAGCAGCAGAAATCTCTGTGTGCGTGTGTGTGTGTGTGTGTGTTTGTACACATCCCCAAGGAATTTTACAGGACAAATCCTAAAGCCAGGCAGCAGCAACTGCCAATGGGCAACAACAACTTGCAACAGCTAGCTGCAACAAGTGTTCCAAATCAAAAACGGAAGCCAAGAGGCAGGAGCTACGGCCTTATTCCACATATGTACATGGGGTTTTTGGTACGACATGGCAAAAGCATTTGGAAAATGTAATTTACAACGCGCAACAGCAACAGCAACAGCAGCAACAGCAGCAGCAACAGTCGAGGTAGCAGCAGCAGCAGCCACTGGACTCACCTGCCACCGATCTCTCACGTCAACTTTGCTGTTGTTGTTGTTGTTGTTGCTGCTGCTGCGTTGATTTTTAATTTTAACCTTTTTGCTGCTGCTGTTGCTGCTGCCGCGACAGCGACGATTGCTGCTGCTGCTGAGTTTGTTGCTGCTGCTGTGCAAAAGTTTTTCCTTTTTTTTTTTTTTTTTTTTTTTGCTGCTCTGCTTCATAGAGCATTTTTCATTAAATTCCTGAATTAAGGCATTCTTGCGACCCATACAAACGATGTTGCTGCTGCTGCTCCTGTTGCTGCTGCTGCTGGTGCTGCTGTTGTTCATGTTCTGAAATAAGAGCAACATTGCTGGCAATGTCCAGAGCGACGACATGGTGACGACGACCAGCGAAGAGGACGCCGCCAAAGTCTAGAGCCACCAACTACTAACAGCAGCAGCAGCAGCAGCAGAAGCAGTAACTAAGCAGCAACAACAACAACAACAACAAGCAACTGCAACAGCAACAACTACCGGTTAGCTGGCAATCGCTGTTGGCCCCGCCTTGGCCACCTCAAATGTCCCGCAGCTGCTGGAATTTCATATTTCTTGCTGCTGCTGCGGCTGCGGCTGCTGTTGCCCTTTTGTGGCAACTCGCGAGCAATCGAGCCCAACAGCAGCAACAACAACTACAAAAACAACATCAAAAGCGTTCAGCCTGCGCCCAAAAAAAGGTAAATAATCGCAGTGTCAAGTTTTCGATTGCCTGCAATATTTGATTTGACCGGAAAAAGCTAATAGAAAGCCGCAGCTGAGCCTAAAGAAAGAGACGAGCGATAAATGAAGCAAAGATCGATAACAATTAGGCAAATTGGGATTAACTGATGCGAAGCATTGGACTTGGTCAATTTGCCTTAAGAGCATAAGAGCAAAAGCATGTACATATGCCTAATGACGCTTAGCAACCTCGATAGCTGATCGATAAATCGATAACACTGAAATGTTTAAGCAAAGCTCTTACAGTCTTTTAGTCCTTCATCCAATCAAGGCAGTAATTCTGATTAAGTTAAGTATGCATTAGTGTGATAAACTGATTGATTCACTAATTAACTTATTGAGAGAATGAATTGATTGAGTATATGTAATGATAATTGAGCAATGTAATGAATGATTGATAATCCAATTGACTAATTGATTGATTTAATAACTGAGTGAGCAGTGTACTGTGTGACTGACCTATAGTGGACGGATTGACTGACTGATGGATTGGCTGAAACTTAGAAAGACTGATATAATTTAGTGACTGATTGTCATTGACTGACTGAATTTTAGAGTGCCTGATTGAGTGACTAAACTATCAACTGATTGATGCATTGACTCTGCGATTTATTAGATAAAGTTGTATTTGAAATGTTTTAAAAAGTATTATCCTTTAGCAGGATCGAAAACTTTTCCATCATATTCTATTTCTATGTAATCAATATTTATATTCTGTATATATTTATTATGAGCTTCACACGACGAAAGCGTAAAGTCTTCAACTGGATGCAGCTTAGTTCAGTTTAGTCTAGTGAAACTAACTAACTTCTACAGTTAGTTGCTCAAGTTGAAACCAACTTTCCTCGTCAGTGATCTGCAATCAGCTGAAGCCGTGGCAGAGGCTGCGACTGCGGCTGCGACTGCGACTCCGACTGAGGCTGAAGCCAAATGCCAGCGCCAGTGCCCACATGAATTCAGAGCATTTTCTAACTTCCTTTTGCCGATAGAACGCGCAAAACCAGCGCGACCACAGCAAGTGGTCAAGAGGGGGCATAGAGAAAGGCGGCAGAGAAGAGAAGGGGTGGGGTAGTGGGGAGATGGAGGGGAGAGCTGGAATCGAACGTTGGCGACCCAAGGCAAAGCGCGCAGAAAAATGGGCGCAAGATCAAGCCGAGTCAGCAGGCAACCGGGGCGCTGGCTGCGGTTGCATAGTTGACCAGGCCAGGCCAGGCCAAGGCAGAGGCAGAGGCAGAGGCCGACGCAGAGGCAGAGGCAGCGAGACAGAAGAAACTCGTAGATACAGATACAGCGCGTCGTGTGTTTGGCCAAGTGGACGACGACGACGGCGACGACGCGACGGCACAGTCGCAGATACACTTTAGGGGCCATGACATGACTCGCATACGAATTATTATAAACGATCTGGCGCAAAAACTAACAAGCGATGCAGCCTGGGATGTGGTGGAGATGCCATCCCCCCCGTCCCGCCGCTGGTGTGGCGAGGTGACCAGGCAAACGAGCCCCAGCTAAAAGTTATGGTGGCCAATTGCAAAGTTAATGGAGTTTGGCTACTCCAGCAGCGAGGAGGTGCAACGGATGCGGCTACCGGACCTGGTCTTCGACTCCAGACTGCGGACTTGCACTTGGCCAAGATTGAACTTAATTTTGCACAAATGCAATTTATAGAAAATTGTTGCCACTTGTTTTTACGTTGATGGCACTTGAGCTGGAGTGCAAGAGTGAGAGCGAGCGAGAGAGACAGAGAGCGAGAGAGGGAGAGAGAGACTGAGGCTAGGCAGTTAATAAATGCAGGTAGCTTCAGCTGCTCCGCGGCCTGCAGCGCATCCATTATTTAAATTTTTGCAAAATTAACAATTAAAATGTCTAATGGTAAAATGCGTCCTCGTCCTCAGCTTCGGCCTCCTCCTCCTCCTCTTTGTCTTCCTTGTCCTCATAAAATAGGCAGACAGCGGCTTCTTGGAAGCAGCAACTGTTGCTGATGATGATGCTGTGCAGCAACTGTTGCTGCTGTAACTGATGATGCTCGCAATTATTAGACAGGCTAATCATGTTCGGGATTTGCATGTGCCGGCGCAGGAAGTGGAAATTGCCATGGGATTAGCGCACTTTTATTAGCGGACGCACACAGATACACTGCACGAAAATCTACACTAATAAATGTGCGTATGTAAATAATGTGGAAATTTCGCGAGCAAAACAAAACGCTTCTAATCCCGCTCTGGAAACATTGAGAAAGCTACCTGCGGAGGTCCTATAAAAGCGAGCGACCCCTCAGCACCCCGCAGCAGTCCGACCTGTGTGATCTGGCACGGCAAGCGCTTTGAGTCAACGATGCTGATTGTACGCTACTTAATCGCCCTGGTCTTCTCCGTCTTCGTGATGGCCACGTCGCTGCGCGTCGAGAAGCGCTACGGAAGGGATGCGGACTACAAGATCTCAACACCCGATCGATTGGTCCTCCAGATGAGCAGCAAATTGGAGCGAAAGCAGCTGGAGCCCAGACGCCTGGGCATATGAGCGGAGCAGGCGGCGGATGTTTGTGATTGAAAATCAAAATATTTGTGAAAGGAAACTGTGAACAGTACTAAGGAATTTAGTTTAACTTGAAGTCATCTGATCGCTGAAGCTCGAAAAATCTTTAAATTTATAATTAAGATAAAAAACCGGACATAATCTAAGTTGAGAACTATAATGAAATTCATGTCTTCTCCATGCCAAATGGTCTTAAATTCCTTTAATTAAATATAAGTATTTCAAGTAATGTAAAGCTGAAGGCGATAGCAGATCATGGATCATCATATTCAACTGTGAATCAAATTATGAAATTAGCTTAACTTTAAATATAAAATAGTCTTACTGTAATATTTTTATATTTCAGATAATGTAATAACGCAACTTTAGTTGTGATGTAAGTTGTCAAAAAAAAAAAAAAAAAATTTTTTTACTAATAATAATAATAATACAAAAATAAATAAATAGATTCCTTACTCTTATCTTTTAAAGTAGCGGAGAATGATTGAAATTTCAGTTCCTCGAAGGCTTAAGGGGATCTTGTAGCCTCGTAGTCTCAATTAGAGCACTCTAGCTATTGTCTTATATATTAATATTTTGTTATGATTAATAATTATTATTATTAAGTTAGTTGCCTGTACAGTGAGCACTCGATATTTAGGCTCGAACATAAAAAATCCATTTACATTCTGCATTTTTGTTAAATATATATTTTAAGTACTTTATTCAGAGCTTTCATATATTACATAGATAGTTAAATAGGTGCTGGACTCTATTCATGTGTAATTTCAAATAGATATATATTTAAATATATGTATTTATTGATGTGTATATATGTATTATACAATAGTTTTGAAACGTTTAATTTACAATGGGAAATATTATTTCGTTTCAATGTATTAGTGCATATATGTAGATATTCAAATAATTGCATTAAATACTTTTGCTAAACATATTTATTTAAATATTATTTTACCACACCATATGCAAGCATAATAGAGATTGTTAATTGAAAAGTTTCTAATAATAACGAAAGCCAAGTGCGAAAACATAAATTTCATTTATGTGCAAAGTTTATTATTTATAAATTGTTATTTAACTGTTTAATAGACATTTATAGAGCGTTGAGTCTTAACTTTAGTTAATTGCACTAAATATTGGCATTGGAATTATGCTAAATGGGCTTTCCATAGATTGAAATGTTAATTTTTCAATGGGCTGTATTTATATTTGTCCTCCTCTTCTCCTTCTTCTTCTTCTTCTCCTTTTGATTTATCTATTGAATTTGTAGTGTTGTTTCGTCATCGGCGTCAGTTGGTGGCATTTACTTTCTAAAGCAGGAGATGGGATTGAAGTAGCACTGCCTGTACCTCACTTGGCGTTTGCTCTCGGGCATGCGGAACAGCTCGTTCATGTTGCCGTAGGAGGGGGTGCGTAGATAGGCGCTGTAGCTAAAACGGATTCACCAAAGAGGCATAAAGATCAGTGAAAGAGAGAGACCTATTTGACGTAACCTACGTGGGTCTGTACTGCGCGAAGAGCATTTGCAGGCGGTCCATGGGCAAGTTTGGGTAGATCGCCTGGGCGGGCATCTCATAGCCGCCGTAGGCAGCACGCACATCCTCAGCATCCTGCTGGTCCAGTCCATCAGTTTCCTGTAAGCAAATGTCTCCAGCTGGTTAAACTTGGTCAAAAGTAAGTCTAGGCCTCACTTACAGCAGTCGCCTCCGCTGCGGAGGGTCGCGCCTCGTTCACGGCAAAGAACACGCTCAGCAACAGGCCGTAGCACAGCAGAATTTGCCCGAATTTCACCATTTTTGATAGAGTTTCTTTACTGTAGGCTGAAAATATAAAGAAGTCAAGTTTAAGAAATTATACAATATTACAGATAAATACATTTATATATTTGCTTATTCACAACAATTAAGATAGGATTGGGATTACATTTTCCGAATGTAAATATTAAATGCATAAATTTATATATAAATATTGAATTAAATTTTACTTAATTTCTATTTTAGCATAATATGAATATATGTTGCATTCCAATATCGCAGGCTCGGTCTATTTCCACCAAATGTCACTTATTTAGAATCCAAATCAAAGTGCAAAGTTTGCATGCAGCCCATATCATAATTCCGTTGAAAGGACAAAGGGCAATCAGAGCCAATCTGCTGTGGCTAAGCTGCCAGGATAATGGCCCATAAGCAGGCAGTGCGGCAGGACGCGAGCAACGGGGAACGAAACACTTGTTGCCACAAACGTGACCCGCATTGCATTGTATAAGTATATGCCGCAAAATGGGGTGGGGCGGGCTCAAACAGGCTGCAGCATAAATGCATTTCCGCAATTAAAATCGGATATGAACTTGAAAAGCACAGCACAATAGACAGACAGACAGAGTGAGAGTGAGAGAGAGAGAGAGAGAGAGCGAGAGAGTAAAGGTGAGAGAGAGCCGCAATAGTGCAACATGCCCGTTGCCATAGCTGCCACGTGCGGCTCTAACAACTAGACAAGAAAATGTTTTCCAACTTTAATTGAATTTGCGCCGTGAACGTGATTCAAGAGACGAATTCTGAGGAGACCTTGAAAGGGCTGCCGCTTTATTTGCATTAGGGGTGCTCCCTTTGTTGGCGATTACGCATTCAGCAATTTTATTTTCGCGCAACAGCTGTGCAGCAATCAAACCTTTGCCAACAATTAATGCATTATACAAAAACATTTTAATTGTATTACGAATGAATCACGTTAAAAATAAATTGCCGAAAATATTTGCCTATTTTTGGTCTTTATTTTTCAAGCAGAGAATGTCAACCAGTCCCCACTGTGCATTGACTAGCAGAAAGTATTACCATAAAAATTAGTTGCTGATTATCAAGTGTTGACAGCTCCAATTCAATAGTAAAAGCCAATTAATGAAATTGTATACCCTGTACTTATACTAAGAGTGTGGCATATAGGTTGTTATAGAGTTGAGCACATATATATCGTCAGTTAAGGATCCAGGGATAATAAGTTGGGATCTTTTAGTAATGGGAAAACGGTATATTGCCTTTTAACTAGGGATCATATTAAAATATTTACTATGTATATACTCCGATTCTTTATTGAATCTAAGCCATTATTTATTTGTTTCCGATACGATCCGATATTGAAATAGAACCACCATCCAGCTGATGATGCAAGCAATATTGCTCAACCAGGTCGCAGTGCTGCAGGTGAACAGGCCGAAGGGTTTCATTTTCATAGGGAAACAAATAATTTGCAGAGAAAAGAGATCACACTGAAAGAAACAATACGGTATATAAAGAGTACGTCAAGAGGAGGTTCAAGTGGCGAGTAGTACCCCTCTAGAGAGCTGCGGATCGGGCTGATCGAGCTCATTTTGTTGTTGCAGCAGAAGCAAAGTCTTTTGGTGTTCATTCACCGTACAATCCAGGATCAGATCAAGAACATAGCCGTCGACAGCAATAAGAGCATACAGACCATAGCCCACGATCTGATAGGCAGTTTGATCGCTTCGAAAGACGCTTATGTAGTAGCCCAGAGTTGCTGCTGAGACAATCATGCAGAGGCGATTGCTTATCATGATGACAGCGTAGGCAGCAGTCAAGCGTTCCATGAGGGCGGTCAATTTCAGGTGTTGCCATCGCAGGTGCTGCAATTCCAGGGTATCCTCTGGCGAGTTGCCCCGGACCAGCTGCCTTATGTGGCTGTTGAGTCGCATGTAGAGTCGACAAATGCGCCAGCTGAGCAGGAAATGCAAGTGCATGGTGACATCCTGGCTGTCCATGGCCAGAAAGTTGAGCACAATTAGCAGAGACTCCACATACATATTATTCCCCGTCAAGCCAAAAAATTGCAAGGCAATAAACGAAAGGCTGAGGAGAAATCCGACGAGCAGCCACAAAATACAATTCTTGACCAAATAGATACACTGCAGCCGCCGCATGTCCTCTTTGTCTCGCTTATCCTTCCTCGACCTGCGATATCGATAGAGCCCGCTCATGCATCGTAGCTCCTGGCTAAGGTTCCTGGTCGCTCGCTCCCTCGATACCCACTGCAATATCCGCACCAGGCAGACAACGTCGTTGACGGTGGAATCCAATTGGATTGTCTGACCTGTTACTCCTGTCAGGCACACCACATCGAACCAGACCCAGACCAGATCCGCTACTGTAATCCCGAACTGCAGCACATTGGACACACTGGCGATGAGCTGTGTCCACTTGGTGTTTTTGAATAGACGCTGCCTAAAATCATAGCGATAGCTCGATGCTCCGATGAATATCGCATAGTAGGCAAAGAGCCCATAGAGCAAACGTTGTAAGCGGCGCGCCTCCATTATTCGAATACTGATTGAGACCAACCAAAGGAACCCAGCTATATATAAGAGTCGCCCTGGCGCTGAGTCAATACTACTGAATATATAATTCGATGTTGCGTGCGGACAGACAGGGATTAATTAATCAATCAATCGCCAGACAGCGATTAATCAATCAATAAAACATTTTCCTTTATTAAGGCTTTATAAGCTCGAAAGTTTTTTATAATTTTAAACATACAGATAAATTGATTTCATTAGCAATAAGCAATGGTGGTTCTAATGATAATAATACTGAAATGATGAATTAAATTAGAATGACAATGACAAGCAATGTTAGTTGTAATGGTAATAATTATGAAATTATGAATACAAAATTATATCATAGAAATTAATTAATGACAATGACAATGACAATGACAATGACAATGACAATGACAATGACAATGACAATGACAATGACAATGACAATGACAATGACAATGACAACTTCTATGACAATGACAATGACAATGACAATGACAATGACAATGACAATGACAATGACAATGACAATGACAATGACAATGACAATGACAATGACAATGACAATGACAATGACAATGACAATGACAATGACAATGACAATGACAATGACAAGATTAAATGACAAGATCAAAAATATTTACATTCATAAATATATTTATATATTAATTTATCTCTTTTCCGAGACGATCTTATACTGTAATAGAACAACCATCCAGCAAATGATGCAAGCAATATCACTCAACCAGGTGGCAGTGCTACAAGTGAGCAGGCCATAGGGCTTGACTTGCATGGGAAAGGTAGTTAATTGCAAAGCAAATAGGTCAAACTGAAAAAAAAGAATATAATAGTATATAGAGAATGTATGTGGAGAGTAGCTACCCCTCTTGAGAGCTGCGTGTCGGGGTGATCAAGCTCATAGTGTTTTCGTAGAAGACATGACGTCTTTTGGTGTTCATTGATCGTGTAGTCCAGGATAAGGTCGAGTATGTAGGCATCCAGTACAAGTAGAGCATAGAAACCGCAGCCGACTACCTTATAGATAGTCGGTAAGCATACAGATAGGCTAATGTAATAGCCCATAACAGCAGTGGTTATAATCAGCGAAAATCGAGTGCTTATCATGATGATGTCGTAGGCACTGGTCAATCGCTCCATTAGAAAAGTGAGTTTCAAGTGCAGCCGGCGTAGATGAAGAGCTTCGAGTGCATCCGCAGGCGAGTTCCGTTCGACCAACTGCCTCATGCGACTGTTGAGACGCATATAGAGCCTACAAATTCTCAAGCTGAGCAGGAAATGCAAATGCATTGTAATATCCTGACTATCGAAGGCTAGGACTTTGAGGATCACAAGCGTTTGTTCTATATAGAGTTTGGCTTGCCTCAAGTTCATGAATTGATAAGACATAATCAAAAACGTGGACAGAAATCCAGTGAAAATCCACATTATGCAATTTTTCGCCAGATAGATGCTGCGCAAACGTCGAATGTCCTGTTTGGAATGCTTGTCCTTCCTCGCCCAGGATTTGGGACAGAGCCTGGTCAGGGACTCCAGCTCCTGCTCAATATTCTTGGTCGCCCGTTCACGAGGTACTCGCTGCAAGAGCTGCAGCACGCAAACGATATCGTTGACCGTGATATCAAGTTGGATTATTTCGCCCGTGACCCGATCTTCGTTTACGTAGTCAAGCCAGAGCCAAGCCAAATCCGATAATGTAACACTGACTATTATTAGATTAGACAAACAGGCGATCAGCTGTGTCCATTTCGTATTTTTATACAGACGCCGCTTAAAATCGTAGAAATAGCTCGTGACACCGATGAATATCGCATAGTAGGCAAAGAGCTGATACAGAAAATGTTGCAACCGATGCACCACCATCCTTCGAACACTGACAGCCAGCGACTGGGCAGGTTCGACTACTTATGAGCAAGGCCGCCAATCTAGGAAACTCATCTAGCAAGCCAATCGAATTACTGAATACAAATAATGAGCTGCACGCTACGGCAATGGCAATGGCGAAAGTACTAACAATAATTAAAAAGTTATGGTAGCGTGTGTGTGTGTGTGTGAGAGAGAAAGGGGGGTCTACCTAACATCCATTTATTTATAAAATTCGTTAGTCGGTCGGTCAATAATTCAAAAGATCCCAACAGATCCCGCCGTCACTAATTAGACTCGAATGAATCAAACATAATTCGAAGGAAGAAGAAGAAGAAGGAGCTGTGGCCAGGAGTCGAGTTGAGACATCAGAGGCGAATAGGTTTACGCTTCTGTGGAGGGCAATTTGCAGGTCCTGATTTAAGTGCCTCACTCACACAGTCACACGCACACACACGCATGTCCCATCATCTCTGACTAATTACGGGCATGCTAATGACATCAAGTGGGCGGCAGCTAATGGGCGTGGCATCAAAAATGTCGCATGAATATGTGAGCAAGCAGGTCATAAATTGCCGCAGGTAGAGCTCAGCAACAGGTATCTGTGTGTGTGTGTGTGTGTGTGGCATGGGCATCAAAAAACCAAATACGAAACCGAAACTCAATGAGGCGAGCCGTAAATGTTAATGTCTCTTGCCACAAGCGACTTCAACGTGCCACCAAGTCGCCTGTTGCAACAGCAACAGCTCATAAACTGTGGCAGCTGCAAAGACAGCTGAATTATCGCTTCTCTCATTTTTTATGGTTACTCAACATTCTTTATGCTGCCAGGACTTTATGCAACCAACAGAAAATTAGAATCTAGCCAACTAGAAAATGTCAATTGCTCTTAAAAAACTTAATTGTATTTGGCAAGATGTCTAAATAGTTTATTAAAGTATACTTAAGGGAAATATATAACATTCCCATGTACTGCTTCGAATGTGCAGAAATATATAATAGGGATACAATTTACCTATACAAATCTTGACATCAATTTAAATAATGCAATATTTTATAGCATACTTTTAAGGGCGATTTCTCTAAATATATTGCAGCATTGTTTTTGTTACTTTGTTACTCTACATTTGTGCATTTTTCTGAGAGGTGTATTATTTGCATAAAGGTGTTATAAAATATGTTAAACAAACAAACTACGACTATTATCCTCTTTCAATGACATGGAAAACTAAATTAAAAACTTGCAAAAAAACGAATTTAATTTAACTTTTTTACCTATAGCGCATACCCTATTTACAACAGGCTCTACCGACTAACCCATAAAGCTGTTAAGCCCTGTCATAAAAATGCACAAACCAAAATCCAGGTACAAATGTTTGACATGCAAAGCGACGCATGCAACAGTTAGTACCAGGCGCGTAGATAATTATAATACGCCATACATATATATATTTACATATATATATATATATATAGCAGCAAGCGAGCCTATATATATATATGTATATGTATAGATGTATATGGTAGTTGGGACAACAAGTCATAAAACGCTTAATAGATAGGGAAGCGACCAAAAACAAAAAAGGTGTCATTCACATTGTCAGTTTGGTTCAGTTCGAACGCGCAATAAATGAAACTAATAACACGCAAACTGCCAGGGGGGCGGGGTGGGGGGGCTGGTGCGGGGGCGGCGCAGTGCCTGGCTGCAGTGTAGACGCTCCAAGTGCTGGCAAACAGCATACGGCAAGCGCTGGCTAAAGCTGAGAGATCAAATGGAATAATAAGGCGAGGTGGGCGGCAGGGGGCTGGGCCAGCAGCAAGCGAGCATAATCAGGACACTTTTATTGCGGCTGATAAATAATGCGTCAATGTTAATTGGAAATTTAATATAGGGTAGACACAGACGAGCTGACTGCAAAGCAGAGAGTAAAAGAGACAGAGAGAGAGAGAGAGAAAGAGAGAGTGACCGAGCGAGTGAGTCAGAGTAAAAGAGTTGTAATGCAATTTTACACACATACATATCTCACTCTCACTCCCACTCTCACTCTTTCTCTTTCTCTCGTTCTAGCTTACGCGGCTTATGCAAAGCTTTGCTGCAAGCGGCTTAATTCTGTAATTTTCGCACAGTTTTCCATCAATTTTGCCCAGTTTTTCTTTTGCGGCCGTTTTTAAATGAACGTTGGCGGCTTTCCCTCCTTGTAGGCTGTTGCTTTTCGTGATTTATTTGACGGTCATGCGATACGCTGTTTGATGATAAATGAAATATTACAAGTCTGAGCCGCGCCTCGTGTCTGACGCACTTGTGACACGTTCTCGTTTCCTCTCCCTGCCACCCCAGCCCCAATCCGCAAATATGCTCAAAAATTTCTGAGGCGCTGCCTACGTTCCATTTGAAACTTGAAACTTATCTCAAGTATTATCAAATTACTCTGCTAGTTGCGGTCTTTGCGGCTTTCGGCTAACAATTGCAACATCAAAGGCTTACGTGAGGAAACCCTCTATAAAATTTGCAGCTACCAAATATTTGTCAAATTAAATGGGAATTCGAAATGGAGAAGCCTTTGTTTTGGCGGAGATAACAAGGATTTCCCCACTTAAAAATGAGTCTCTTGGCTTGGAATCAAATATCTGCCAATACAGTTTTAGATTTTAACAAGGTGTAAGGCGGATGAAATTACTGTTATATAATTATTCCTAGATAAGTTAAAAATAGATTGAAACGAAAATAATGAGATAAACTAAAACATGAAAAATATTTATTCCCCTTAGAATAAAACCTCATAAATTTATTTAACATATTGACTTTAGTTCTTTTTTTGTTGCTGAACAATCTATTGTATTTATGATTGGGAAAACAGGGTATGATCGTTTTGTGGAATTGTATGTAACAGGTAGACGAAGACGAATATATTCTTGATCAGGACGACGAGCTATGTCGATTTGGCTCTGTCCGTCCGCTCATCTCTCCATCCGCATGAGCACTAGGATCTCTTAAAGAGATGCTAGAGACTTGAAATTTTAAATGTATATTCGTGTCGATATATTTTTCTAGCTTTACTTGAAACTAAAGAGTATTTTTAAGCTACTTTGAAAGTGATAAACATGTTGTGTTATTTAAACTGTTAATAAAAATGTATTTATAAGTTTTAATAAAAAGTTTTCATTGTTTGTCTGTCAACAGTGTGCCCCACTTCAAAGTACTTTGATTGACTGGGCTCCAGTAGGCCCGTCCAGGTTCAACTCGTTTCAGCAGCTATTGGCCATCTAATTTGGGCTACCCTTAAGGCTTCCCTCACTCAGGCCTGACTGAAGTATTTGTATTGGAGCTTCTAATAAATATTAAATGCAATTTGATTGCGGTTTTCTGTTTTCAAATCAAGGCAAATACGCCTAAAGGATAATGTTAGGAAACTATGCCCGCTGATATGCTGACATATAGCAAATCAGAAATGATAAGAATGCACAAGGTTTTCATTCCCGTCTGCAGCAAGCGAGAGCAAATGATGCGAACTTTTACCTTTCTCTTACACATCATAAGTAATTCATATTATTTTCCATACCATGGCCCACGCAACAGGCACCTTTAGCCGCATTTTTCTTGGCCGTGATTTTATTTTTATTTTGCTGGGGGAGTTTTACAATAACCCCTAAAGTACATCTTTTTGTGCTGAAATACCCCCTAATAAGCAAAGCCAAATTGGGTATATTGCATACTGATTGATAAGGTTTGAAATAAATAATCTCAAAAATTGATTTGAGCTAGGAGCAAGTAGATATTTCGCATTATTTATACGATGTTGTATATCAATTATTATTTCTATAATTCTTTTTTCATAACTCTTTCGCCCTTTCACCTGAAATGTTTTACCTAAAGTATCTCCAAGTCAGTCAGATTTAATTTATTCATATTTACTTGTATATTTTTATTTCCATGTTATATTTTTGAACATGAATTTCAATTTAGGCTGTCGGGAAAGCGGTAAAGCTCTGCCAACGCAAATGATTAATTGGCTACATTTGTCAACCGGTGTAAAAGCAGTTGGAAGAGGCGAGTTTTGCACGTGTAAGAAAGTGTCTAAATGTCAATCTCTTTGAGAAACCATTTATGAGAACAAGCATAAGCTAAATTCGATTATTAAACAATTAATAAGCTGCAAAGGGCTAAACACTGGAATCAGCTCTTAGCCACTTTACTGAGGTGTGTGCAGCTATTTATATTTTAGATTTTCTGTCAACGAAAGAAATCGCAATGAATTTATAATAAGACTAGAGCGAAAGTTATACACATATATAATAAGAGGCAAATTTCCAGTAAAATTAGATTATTACATTTTTTTAAATTTTAAACTGAAAAATATATTAATTTTTTTTTTCCCTTTTTTAAATTTTTTTTCATATGTAACAAATCGGAAATGTTTTTTTTCTTTTGAGACTCAAACATACTAAAATATTTATAATACTTTTAATAAAAGAATAAATTTCGCAGCATTGCTCTTCACTTATATTTGGTATGCTTAGAAATCGTGAGTTAAAGCGATTCCTAAATATTTCGAACTGAACATTTCCGCATTCACGCTTGATTAATATATCAATTAAGAGTTGCTTGAGTCAAGCGCGTGCCAGCAGATTAAGATAAACTCAAACAATAACTCGAAATTAGGCAAATACAAGTGAAACAACAAACTCACCGGAAGAATTCAAGGATAATGGGCTGGCTAAGCAAATAGCGGCGGTAAAATTGATTTCAGACAAACTTGGGTCGCGATTACGATTTCACTTTTATATAGATATATATATTTGGATATATATGTGTGTGTGCGTCTCACGGAACTGTTTTATTTATGGTACTGCAAACACAAATGAAATGCGATATTGTTGAAGAGGATCCGTTAGACTGTTTGGACTCGATGTGAACGCCAAGAAGTGAAATTGTGAACTCGATGTTAGCCATGGACGACGCTCGGCTTTATATACAAAATAGCAGGCGCAGTCGAAGGCGACGACAGCAGCAGCAGCAGCAGCAGCACCACCAACAGCAGCAGCAACAGCAGGAAGCAGAAAAGGTGTTGAGAAGGAGGGGTAAATGGGCAACGCAGGTTTAGAGGGTGTGTAGGGGAGGTGTTAGGGGTAGCTTAGGCGCATGGACTGCCTGTTGTTGCCGCCCCGCTGCAACAATTGCTGTTGCTGTTGCTGTTTTCGTATCGTTGCCAATGCTGCGTATGAGCAACGTGCGGCTTAAGAGCCCGATTATTCACCACACGCGCACAGCTTGATAACCGTTATGTATGTATGTGTGCGTGTCTGCATGTGTATCTGTGTGTGTGTGTGTGGTGAATAGTGTGTTGCTACCTGTTGATTGGCAAAACTTGCTGCATACTTGTTGGCGCCGTAAATCAATTGAAGCCAGAGCGGAATCAGTCCAGTTACTGGTTCAATCATTTAGCAGTTCATGAACGGAAAATGTCATTGAATTGATTATGACCAGTTGGAGAAGTCGCTAGTTCAGTTGATGTGGAAGAATTCTTTCTCTATTGATGTCGTATGATTATTTGTTCAGTTGACTTTCAATGTTTAGTTTTTTATTGATTCAGTAGAATTGAAAATATTAGTTCTATGTGAGATGAACAAGTGAACTAAAGTAATTCACTAGAAGTCATTTGAACAATATTAGAATTTAGATTCCCAGTACAGTCTACAATGAACCATTTCTATCACTGATTTATTATTCAATAGCTTAATCTACTTTATTTACCATGCAATAAGTCGGAAACTGTTTCACAGTACTTCACCTATTATCGTCTCAATCAGTTCAGTAGCTCATTTATTTACTAGTTCATTTGAACATGTTCTGAACAGAGCGTCGCAGCGCGGATCAATCAGTGACGTCACATGACCAACACTTTGATTTATGAGCAGACTCTTAACCTAGCCTTACACCTGATAAGGCAGACAAAACTTTATGATAGCCGTTCGTACAGGAAAGCGGGCATATCAATTATAACTGTCGGTCATGTAAAAATGCTTCTAGTGTAAAAATGCATTCAGACTATAATTATCAGAGCTTAAATTAAATTGAAAGGGTGAACTTCTTGCGTATGTATTTAATAGCTTAGATTTTTGTTGGCAGAGTACAGCGTAGTCATTCACTCCCCACAAGAAGATTCCTAGTAGTTATTTGGACAACGTTACACGCAGCTCCTGGCTGAACTGCAACATCAATTTGTATTGCAACATCGTTAATTTCGCACATATTGGCCAATAAAACTTGGCCAACAGGCAATTAAAGTTGGCCATAACGAGCTCTACGTGCGCTGCACGAGCAAAAACTGATCGAAGCAACCGAGTTGAATCACCTTGCATTTAGTTAATGCTATGCATTGATTCCTGTCGCCAAAGAGCAAAGGGGGAAGTAGTGGAAATATTTTTATTCATGGATGAAACTGTTCAGCAGTAAAATAAAAATATCTGCCATAGTTTTATGTAATATTGTGCTGTTCTCTATATATATGTTATATATTCTTAGCAGTCTTATGTTATGTTCTGCGTTCTGAAATAACCCCATAAGTTCATGACCCAACTCCAAATTCGTTAGATGAGAACTTCAAAGTATAGTAATTATAGTTAGTTATAGTTATAGACTCTATCGAAGTAAAGTAAACGAAAATGTGTAAAGTCACTGGTAATTCTAATTGTAATATTGGAAATGCACATCGAAATATTATCTAATACGTCTACTATATAACTAAGTGCTACTTCCGCTTGGGGAATCTCAACTAAGAGTATTATTGTTTTGCACCCGGAGTTGATAGCGCTGATAAGGCCAAAGGGTGAAATGCTAAGTACAATGAATGAATTATGAGTGGGTGTGAGAGTGACTGTATATATATATGTGTATGTGTGTGGGGGTATTTCAGTTTTTATAGTAGTGTCAATCAGTATTAGAGAGAATTAGCGTCCGATTATTGGAGCGAACAACGCAAAAGCAAATCCAACAGCCTTTATGGATTATTGAAATGATATATATTATATGAGATATATGTTTTAGTTATACGTATTACATTCTACAAATATATTAGCAGGTAACTGCTGTTATTAGAGTGTGTGTGTAATAGGTGGAAGGTAGCAGCTGCAACTCTCTCAATAGGCCAACTCGAACTAGGTGAGATAATTAAAATGAAATCAGAAAATAATAATGAGATTCTTTAAATGTGTTTTAGGCTAATTTTCGTTAGTTTATTGGCATCAAGCAATATAAATTTTTATCTATTAACTATGCGTATTTATTTTCCTATATATTCGTATTTATGTCTCTCCGTATTTTTATTGAAGTCAAACGAAGCAAGAGTACTTGCAGCGGAAGAGAGTGTTCCCATTGCTCACTTAAAGCTCGGCTGCAACGAAGCCTAACTGAAGTCGGGCTCAACAGTTGACGACCTTTGAGTGAAAGTCGCCCTATATAAAGGGCTGTACGATAGCTGCAGCATTTCTACAGTCGCCCAGATCTGGTGGGGGTCAGTCGTGCAGTCAAATGAAGTGAAGTTAAGGGTAGTGAGGTGGAGTGAAATATGTGATCGCTCAGTTAAATATTAATGCTTTGAGGAAATACTGAGAGCAAATACTGTGAGGAATTACAAAGAGGAATTACTAAGAGGAATTATATAGAGGAAATACTTGGAGAAAATACTTAAAGGAATAATTACAAAATAAATTCCAGTCTTTAGCTCTTATAGACAGACGGACGGATAGGGCTAATTCAACTCAGCTCGTGGCCTTGATTAGGAATGTATATAATACAGGGAGTACCACGCCTACTTCTGCCAGTTACATATGTAAATTAAACAAAACAGTTATACCCCAATTTCCCACATTCAATGAGTTCAGGGTGTGAACACTATTAACTCCCTTCTTTAAGTTGAGCTATAGCCAATTTCCCATGAGAATATCTCCCCAAGGATGGTGTTCTTCACAGCAGATATTCTAGTATAGAATTGTATTTTAATATTTATTACAAGGAGCAGAGCTTCAGCGATGAGTACAGTATGGATATACACGTTTACACATATACATAAATATCTATATTTATAATGCTAGAATTACAAAAGGTTTTTCAGTTTACAATTCATGCTTGACAGATGATTTCAGTTAATCATGCGAACAACTTTCATAGCAGCCAAGGAAACGCAATGCTCGAGATGAAGATGTCATAAAGCTGGAGCCGAACCTGGAGCCAATTCGTGTTTTCTTTTGAATGGAGTTTCAGTTGGTTAGGTTTAATGGTAGGTTGATTGGTTGGTTGCTTGGATGGTTGGTTGGATTAAAAACAGCTAACGGCATTGAAATAGCAGCGCCAATACATGCGACCACCTCCATTGGCAACGTGATGGATGCGCCTGAGGCCGGGACTAGCGCCAGGACCAGGACCAGGACCAGCTCCAGGTCCAGCTGCAGCCGCTGACGCCGCATCGATGCCAACTGCAGTTGTGCCGGCTCTTCTCTGAAAGCTCTTTGCCATTAACTGAAATTTTCTTACACCATTTGCCACATGCTAATTGATATCTTTTATTGCATATTTTGGTTTCAATATCCAACTTACAGTTTCGCCCGTTGCGCGATTTATCTGATTTAGATCTTTGAAGTCGTAATCCATCATCACGCCAGGATCGTCATCGCTGTACATGTGAAAGCTGTGTCCACTCAGTGGCTGATTGCCAGCTAATCAAAGATATAGATATATATAATAATTATGTGGAACTGCATATCGAATTAATTCCTAACTCTAACGTTTCGCTCACCTTCCTCTGTTGCTCGAAGTTGCTGCTGCTGCTGCTGCTGCTGCAAAGCATTTCTGTAATCGGAAGGCTTTACTGGTCCCAGGTTCTTATTCGCATAGAACTCGCCTATGCGATGGCCCTCACGTTCGTTCTCCAGCGCATGATGCAGTGCAACCATCAGGCGATCCAGCAGTAAGGCAGCGCGCTTGGGCACTATCATCTAAGGAATGGATTTGGATTTGGAGGGATTTAGAATTGACATAAAGCCTTAACTTTCATGGTATATAAATATGTCGAAAGTTTTGTTAATTATAAAAATTCTTGTATACTTATATTATTTATATATTTTGAGTTTATTACAGCTTTCCTCTTAACTTTATTAATTTTGTCAGTTAACAAAGAAATTTCGAAATTTATGACTGTATAATTTGCTGTAAATATACATATGCATCCATATAATAATAGCAAGTGAGTTAACATAAGAAAAGTTACTTGCAGACATCGTTTACATGGCGTATACGCAATTTGTAAAGCGCTCACAAAAAAAAAAATATGGTTTTCCTGCTTTTTTATTTTGTGCAAGTTGACAAAAGTTTTGAAAAAGCGTGACGTCAACAGCCCCAAAGGCCGTTGCTGGAGATGTAGGTATGCATACTCCCTCTATACATACATACAGCTGTTGGTATCGCAGAGCAAGTCCCGTTGCGATATCAAAGCAAGGTAACATTATCACCTGCAGGGCAAGCAATCAAATGCAAAATATACATTTACAAACAGATTGCGTGCGTAAAACGAGACACACTTTTGGGTTTGACCAAAAACCCACGCAGGCTCTCGAATTTTCAGGACGGGGGTGGGTGCGGCAACTAGGGTGACCATCAACACTTACCGGGTACTCGTCATAGCTCATGTCAGCCGCATCGTTGGGCGCACTAAATATCTCCTCCGGCTGGCTAACGGTAGTCGGTGCGATGGCTCGTTTCTCAAGTGGCGGCAACTGCGGCTCCTTCTCCACTTCCTCGTCCACGTCCACTTCCTTGTCCGTGTCCACGTGTCGTTTGAGCGCAGTGACGCCCCTCATTTGGCGACACATATGCAGCTCGAAGCTCTGGAGCAGGACGAGCAGCACAATCAGCAGGCCAGGCAAATAGTTGCGACTGCGCCA